TTCATGACATGCTAATAGTCGTTCTGGCTCCCTCTTATGGCCGATTGAGGAAAACAGCAACCAATCACATTTTACAGTATCTTTTAAAGAAACAGGTACAACATTGTTACATGATTTATATATTGCCGACCCAACCATTAGAATTATATTCTTAACAACTCCGACTAACTGTTCTCCCCCTTAACTTCTTCTAGCATGTCATGAATCAGGACGGAGAGACGGACGGGGCTGAAGAAACCACCCGAGAACCCAACTGCTACGCATTCCTTTTCTGGCCTTGTCCGATTTTGTCGAAACACCTCATCTTCCGTCCATCGGAAGAAGCAACCCGCCGTTTCTCCATCCCCAGAGCCAAAGTCAACGCGCGAGACTCCATCCCACCACCCAGTTTGCAAAGGAAGGAGCCCCTTCCAGTCAAGGCATTGAGCACTTGAGTTTCCAGAGAGATCCGTAGGCTACGACCTTGGGAGAAGGATCACATCTGCTTCCCCCCCCAAAAAATGGAGATCTGGATTTTTGGGGGGGCACAGCAAGGCCTTTCCTGCAGTGGCTCGAAGTCAGAAACCATCGAAGCGAAGGCCAACATGGAAAAGCACATTTTTCGTACCGGATCATTGCAAAAAGAGATGTTCACCTTATGTATCGATCTGTCCCGAACACCTTAAGCCTTCTTCTCCATTCAGGGGGTGGTTTGTTTAGCCCTGTTTTAACAGACACAGAAGATGGATCCCTCCTTAACCCTTGAATTGGGATGTGGGGGTGGGGGGCTCGCGCTGAGATCCCCTGCGGCAGATAATGTGAAATGGAACTTCGATCCCAACCTCCTGTTTCACGAGTCTCTCTGCATCCTTAACCCCCCCCACACACAACAGCAAAGCATGTCCTTCGACCGTCAGCATCCAAACAGGACTTTGATTGTTTTTAACAATGCTGGACAATCGTCCTTCCTCTTTGTAGCTGGATGGGATAGAAGTTGCAAACAGACCAAGATTTCCTAGGACAAGCAAAAAAATAAAATAAAAAACCAGGAAAGGAAGCAGATGCTAATCAGCCGAGTCAAAAAAATACACACGGTTGCAAGATCTACGTTTTTCTTAAGCAAAAAAATAAATAATAAAAAATCACGTTCCTCTCGAGCATCAATAAACGTGAGGAATATCCAGTGGGAGTCAAAACAACCCACAAAGTGATTTAGTGGGGAAGGCTGGGGACGTTTAGGAGCATAATAATGATGGATTCATAGACTTGAAACCCCACTCAGATTGAAGACACACAGATCCCTCCCTCCCTCCCATAAAACAGGATCTGAAAATCTTTTTTCTTACCTACCTCTCTTTGGGTGTTAAAGGAACCAGGCCTGGCTAGTCTAGGGAAGAGAAGGACCAGGGGAGACAGGAGAGCATCTTCCAATATTTGAGGGGCTGCAACAGAGAGGAGTTAGGGGGTCAAGCTATTCTCCAAGGCACCTGAAGGCCAGAGAAGGAAGAACGGATGGAAACTGACCAAGGAGAGATTCAACCTGGAAATAAGGAGGAATTTCCTGACCGTGAGAACCATCAACCCATGGAAGAGAAGTTGCCTTCGGAAGTTGTGGGAGCTTCATCCTTCGAGGCTTTCAAGAAGAGACAGGACAGCCATCTGTCAGAAATGGTGCAGGGTCTCCTGCTTGGGTGGGGTGGGGGGTTGGACTAGATGATCTACAAGGTCCCTTCCAACGCTATTATTCTGAATATTACAGTATCAGTCCAGAGACTCCTATTTGTTCAACGCCGGAGGAATTGCGGTAGGAATCTTGCACATCATCTCACCGAA